TGTGCTGAACAGTGGTTAGGGTGTTGAATCAGAATTACGCAGCTTTTAGCACTCTTTTTTTAAGGCACAAAGACCCAGGAGGCCAAGAGAACAGGTATCCATGACAAAGAGATTGTGAATGTGGGGAAAAGGATAAGGAGCCCTTCCTCCTGGTGGGAATGGGAACCAGTAGAGCCGCTCTGGAGATCAGTGTGGAGATGCCACAAAGCCTAAACCCAGAGCTACCTTCCAACCCAACCATTCCACGCCCTGGTGAAATCCAGCCCTTCCACACCTGCAGGAATTAAGAGTTAGGATGTTACAGGGACGCCTGCATCCCCACATTTGTGGTAGTGCGATTCACAATGGCCAGGATACAGCAGCCGCCTAGGTGCCCATGCACAGACTATGGGATGAAGATAATGTGGTACGTAAATGCAAAGGAGTACTATGCAGGCATAAAGAATGAAATGCTGTCGTTTGCAGGAGAACAGATGCATGTGGAGACCCACCATGAGGAAGAAAGTAAGTCAGACGTGGGAAGACAACTGAAATGAGGAATTTTAAAAAGAAGAGCAGAGAGTGGAAGGGGTTGATTATTCGACAAGAGGATGTGAAGAGGTGGGCAGGGGAGGGGGCCTAGGGACTGCTAATGGGAGAAACCAATATAGCAAAAATGTGTTACATGCATTAAAATCCCTCCAAACTGTGAAAGCAAGACGGAGGGCGGGCATACGGGGTTATCGGTAAAAGGACTAACTGAAGTCTGGGCAGGTTCAAATCTGCCAACACGAAACCCGCTCATCCAAACGACCAAGGTGCACAGGTAGAAAAGAAAAGATGCAAAGGAGGAAAAAATCTGAACGGGAAAACAGGTGGAGATTCTGCGCTCCTGGTGCAGGGCTGCTGAAGATCAGGCCCAAAGGTTGGGACTTGTGTTGGCTTTGGAATTCATTCCGCAGAAGGCAAAGGTCTGAGTGCGCCAGGGCTGGATTTGCGGCCTTGCAGCCCGACCGAGAAATCTGACATGAAACCGTCACCAGCTGCGAGAGGCTGCAGGTAACCCAACACCAACGGGCCTGTGCCTCAGTTTACCCCGGGGAAGAGGAGTCACTGTTCCCACTCTGCTCTCTGGACTCTGCTGTCTGTGGTCACAGACACAAGCTCAAGTCCCTCTGGGTCTCCAGGGTAGAGCTGGCTCTTCCTGGCTATCATTTCTTCTCAAAAATCCTGAGAAAGGTGACACCTGCTCTTTAGGATTCATCTGATTTAGTATTGGTTCCCTTGAAGCTGGGGCTGGGGGTGCCTCGTAACTAAGGGGCGGGGACACAAGGGACAGGATTCCCTGCCATGCGGGAGGGTTGAAGAGTACACATGGCAGATGTGCACATTTTAAAAGTTTATTACATCAGCCGGGCGTGGTGGCGTACGCCTGTCATCCCAGCACTAGGGAAGCTGAGGCAGGAGGATCACTGCAAGTTCGAGACCAGCCTGAGCTACAAAGTGAGCTCAAGGCCCGCCTGAACTACATGGCGAGACCCTGTCTCAAAAAAAAAAAAAAAAAAAAATGTTTATTACATCATCAGCAGATGAATGGGTAAACAAAATGGAGGGTTTACACACCATGGAGTACGACTCTGCCATGAAGAATAGACCTGAGTCATGTGGGAAAATGGGTGCAGGTTGAGACCGTGGTATTATGAAAAATACATGACATGCAGAAGCTTAGGGATCTCGGGGATTTTGTCACATGAGAAACCAGAGACTAAATGAGGACCATTTGCGGATGCAAAGGCAGCAAGGGATGGTGGGAGTGGGGCCAGCGTGAATACAAAAAGAATTAACTTGTGGTGCATAGGGGCACGAATGCCACACCATGATGTCATCACTATGCACCAGAAATATGTATTGGGAAAAATTAAAAACAAAATTTTTAAATGTACTGCAGGTTAAGACAAACTGCCACAAATCCCCTCAAAATCCTCCCGGCTTTGTACACCCTCATCCCACCGTCCTCCCCGCTTTCTGCAGCAGCTCTGGAGTCCTCTTTCCTGAGGGTCTTTCCAATGTATGATCAAAAACATGGTGACTGCTGCTGCCGAGGACCATCCAGCGGAAAGGCAGGTCGGAAACACACCACGCCGTGTCCTCCTCCACCTCAGTCACCGGATCTGTCATTGAGCGATGTCCGGCTCCTCCCCAAGGTCAAAATGACCAGGAAAGGTCAAGGTGTTGAGTCCATTCAGAACACTGAGGCAGCCAGGACCGTGCAGCTAAAGACCCTCAGGAAAGAGCACTCCAGAGTCACTGTCACCCGCAGGGTGTTGTAGAGCAAGGTCTGCCTACCCAAATGGAGGACTTCCTGTGGGATTCAAGCGCTGTAATCTGACCCCCGGGCCAGGAGCCTGAAGCACACACCAGAGGCGCACCAAACACAGGCCAGCGACTCAGGAGCGCCGTTCACTTAAAACCTAAGGGTTCGTCAAGATGTTCAGGGTTCCTAGGTGTGGAGGCACACACCCTCATCCCAGCACTCCAGGAGGCTGAGGCAGGAGGATCACAATTTGGAGCCCAGCTGGGGCAACTTGGAAACTCAGTGAGGTCCTGTCTCAAAATTTAAAAAAAAGAGATATATATAGGGCTGCAGACGGGCATGGTGGCACATGTCTGTAATTCCAGCACTCGGGAGGCTGAGGCAGGAGGATCGTTGGGAGTTTGAGAACAGCCTGGGCTACAAAAGTGAGCTCAAGGCTGGCCTGAACTGCAGAGCAAGACCTTGTCTCCAAAAAAAAGACCAAAAAAAAGACCAAAAAAAGAAAAAGAGCTGCAGATGGAGCTCTGTGTGAAGGACCCAGGCTCAGTCCCTGGTATGGCAATAATAACGATGTTAATAATAATTTTTTGAAGGGACAGGAAAAGGTGCAGCTCCCGGGTACAGCAGTTCCATCCAGCGATGTGTAGAGGAACTGACTTCCCACGAGGAATGGAACGGATCACTGCGTAGTGCAGACTTGGCCCCAGAACCATAAAAACAAAAAAAGATTTTATCAAGATACAGTCCCACTTCCTGCCAGCAGGGGGCGGCACGAATCCTAGAAACTTTTTTAACTTGGTCTTCTGCGTTCTGTTAAAAACCCTCCTGTTTACAACTTGTGTTTCTGCGCAGGTACTAGGGAAAGATTTACAGGGGAAATCCAGAAGGACTTGAACTACAGTATCGGGTGTTTTAGAAAAAGAAAGGTTGCCAGGTGTGGTGGTGCACGCAAGATTGTCATCCCAGCACTCCTAGGGAGGCTGAGGCGGGAGGATCGCTGCAAGTTCAAGGCCCGCCTGGGCTACATAGCAAGACCCTGTCTCAAAAAGCCAAAGAAGCAAATAAAGAAACTCCTAAGTTTGTCAGTAAGAGCAGTTTTCCAGTATTGCTTTTTGTATTTCCTTTTAAGCTAAAAAAGATTGACTGAGATAAGAAGTTTTGGGGTGTTTTCTTTCTTTCTTTCTTTCTTTCTTTCTTTCTTTCTTTCTTTCTTTCTTTTTTTTTTCTTTCTTTTTCTTTCTCTCTCTTTCTCTCTCTCTCTCACTTTCCTCCATCCTGCTTTCCTTCTTTCTTTCATCCAAAGACTCTCCTGCCTCAGCCTCCTGAGTGCTGAAATGACAGGTGCACTAAGGGACATCTGGCTAAAATCAATCAGATCAACCGGATCCGATTCTGATGCGAAATTAGCAGTTTTAGTTCAATGACCAGTTAAATATAAAACACAGCCAGGATTTCAGCAACGCTCCACTGACGATTCACGAAGAATCTCTCCGCTCGTACCCTGACTGTCTCTTAAAACAAAGCACCCTGGACACAGGCATTCATGTGTCACAGATTTAAAATGATCTTCCACGGCCTTTGGAAATCATAAAATGATCGCTTCTGGGGTTTTGTGTTGTATTTCTCACGGATTCTGAGGTAAAGGGGAACACTGGGATTAAAACTCCTACAACTGACCACAGGAAAGTAACACCCGTCTTTTCCCTTTTAAGGGAAAAACTTAATGATTCTACATTAGAAATAATAGTTACCACAGGCTACTTAAAAATAAACGTAGACATACACAGCAAAAAATAATCAGGTGTGCTGGTGCACGCCTATAATCCCAGCACCCTGGGAAGCTGAGGCAGGAGGATCGTCGGTTGGATCCCAGCCCAGGCACTCCGGGACTTAGTGAGACCCTGTCTCAAAATAAAACGTACAGAACGTAGATGACAGCATTGTATTTTACAAGGATGTGTACGCATGCACGCAGGCACTCATGCATGTGCGGGTGTTCAGATTAAATACATACAGAAATACGGTTTGTAGAAAGGGTTTTAAAAATTGCTACTGGTTTGTTTCTCTGGAGAAACCCTAATCCTATATATAATATAGCCTGATGTATAAAACAGACTGTACTAGATGAACTATATTTTAGATAGGATTAAATAATATTAATATTACATTACCATATAGTATTACATTTACTACATGCACATGAAAGAGAAATGTGTGTGATTCCCACAGATATACAGCAATATGGTGTTTCATTTATACATTACAGAGACACAAAATAGGAATATTGCCAGGCGTAGTAGCAGCACGCCTGTCTCCTGAGCACTCAGGAGGCTGAGGCAGGAGGATCAGTACAAGTTTGAGGCCGTGCTGGGCTACGTAGTGAGCTTAAGGCCAGCCTGTACTATACAGTGAGACCCTGCCACAAAAGAGCAAAAACATGGGGAGGGATATTTAAAGCAAATAAATACAGATGTGACAGTGAGCCAGGTGCGGTGGTGCGTGCCTGTCATTCCAGCACTCGAGGAGGCTGAGGCAGGAGCATCTCAGATTCCGGCTCAGAAGGAAGGAAGGGAGGGAGGGAGGGAGGAACGGAAAAGAGAGGAGAGGGAAAGGACAGAGGAGAACAGGGGAAGGGGAAGGGGATCGGGGGAAGGGAAACGGGGAGGGGAGCCGAACGAGGGCAGAGATACACGGAAATGAGCCTGACCTGTCCACCAGCTTCTTGGCGAAGCCGAAGTCGGTGAGCTTGATGTGGCCGTCGCGGTCCAGCAGGATGTTCTCGGGCTTCAGGTCCCGGTACACGATGTCCCTGGCGTGCAGGTACTCCAGCGCGCACACGATCTCGGCCGAGTAGAAGAGGCCCGAGGTGCCCGGGAAGCGGCCGCGGTTGCGCAGGTAGCTGAAGAGCTCACCGCCCGGCACGAACTCCATGAGCATGTAGAGGAAGCGCGCGTCGTGCCACGTCCAGAACCTGCGCGGGGACACGGCGGAGTCACACCGGGCAGGGCTGGGACACGGCACACAGGTGGACAC